ACTAGTTGATTCATTATAACTGTTCTATAATATTTGTTTGCATATATAATACATTTATTTATGTATTTCCTGATTGATGGATATTAGGCCATTTCCAAATTTATTATAAATGATGTTGTAATAAACACCCTTAAACTCATATCCTTGGGCACATATAGGGGTGTCCAAAGGGAACCTAGAAGGAAATTACTGGATCTTGGGCATGGACATGTTTAAAGAAAAAAGTTGTTCAAGATACTTGATAAAAATGGTAAGGCTGTTAGGTGCAGTGACTCACATCTGTAATCCCAGCATTTTGGGAGGGTGAGGCAGGAAGATCACCTGAGCCCAGAAGTTTGAAGCTGCAGTGAACTATGATCATGCCACTGTACTCCAGCCTGAGCAACAGAATAAGACCCTGTCTCTAAATAATAATAATAAAAAAGCACCAGGTGTGGTGGCTCATGCCTATAATACCAGCCCTTTGGGAAGAGGAGGCAAGAACATTTCCTGAGCCCAGGGGTTCAAGACCAGCCCGGGCAACGTGGCAAGACGTAATCTGTACAATAAACCAAAAAATTAGCCAGGTGTGGTGGCACACACCTGTGATTATACCTACTTGGAAGGCTGAAGCAGAAGGATTGACTGAGCCCAGTAGGTTGAAGCTGCGGTGACTGTGAGCGTGCCACTGCATTCCAGCCTGGGCAACAGAAGGAGACTCCAACTCAACAACAAAAAATAATAATATATAAATAAAGATGGTAAGGTTGACTTTATTCAAGGAAGGCTACTACAATGATGTTTTGCAGCAGGAGAGAAGGTCAGATTCAATTACGACTACAAAAAGGAAAAGGGAATTTATAGCTCAGGAAAAGAGTGGGGGTGAGGTGTCAGTGCATGGAAAATTCCTATGAGGAAACATCAGGGGTAAGGGGGAATTTCTGGTTGAATCCACCTAACAGGATCTTTGCTGAAAGCAGGCCAGCACGATCAGATATCACCTGAGGGATGTTAGGTAAGGAGGAGTCCAACTATTTATAGATGGAGATCAGATGCTGAGGATGGGAGATTCTGGAAATAAGTGACTTACCAGGATCTCTGCTAAAAATGGACAATGAATAGATGAACATGGAAGCCCAAAACTTAGGAGCTAGTAGAGAAGATAGTTCAGAGGAACCTGACTAGAGTTAGATCAAGGACAGAATCTTAGTCAACTATTTGACTTTATTCAATATTGCTCAATGGCTTTTTAGCAAGGCATAATAGCTCCTCCTTCTTCATATCCTCACCAGCACTTCGTATGAGAAATTTTAATTTTGCAAACATGATGTTTTGAAATATTTCATTGTTTAAATTGCACTTGTAACTAGTGAAATCTGTGCAGCTTTCCCTATGTTTATTGGTCATTTGAAGTTCCTTTTCAATGAACTGTATAATATTGTGTGTTTACATGCTATATTATATTTCCCTTTAAAAAAATTATTTTTCGGTACCTAGATGTATTTTGGATATAGAATAAAGGTTGATTCCTAGGTTTTAGGCTTGGACAAATAGGTGGATTGTGTGCTATTTATATGGATGAAGATGGGTAATGGCAAATAAGTTTTAGGAGGAAGATCAAGTTCTTTTAGGAGCTGGGTGTGGTTGCGTGTGCCTGTAATCCTGGCTGCTCAGGAGGCTGAGGCAGGAGGATCGCTTGAGCCCAGGAGTTCAAGGCTGCAGTAAGCTATGATCATGACAGTACACACTCCATTTTGGGTGACAGAGTGAGACCTCTTCTCTTAAAAAAAAAAAAAAGCCAAGTGCAGTGGTTCCCACCTCTAATCCTAGCACACTTTGGGAGACTGACATGAGATGATCGCTTGAGCTCAGGACTTCAAGATCAGCATGGGCAATATAGTGAGATCTTATCTCAACTCCCCCCCCCCCAAAAATTAGCTGGGCCTGTGGCATGTGCCTATAGTCCCAGCTACTCAGGAGGTTGAGGTGGGAGGATCAATTGAGCCCAGGAGTTTGAGGCTTCAGTGAGCAGTGATCGTGCCACTGTACTCCAGCCTAGGTGACAGAGTGAGACTCTGACTTAAAAAAAAAAAAACACGTCAGTATGAAGTATCTGGTTCTCATCACTTTCCACCATCATTGGAAACACCGTATTACTTACTGTGGGTATACAGAAAAAGGCAATTCTTTCTGGTGGGTATATACAGTAAATGGAAGCAAACCTTCTAGAAGATGTGCTACTTACAGTAAAATTTTTAAAATAGGCATTCCATTTGACCTACATATAGGATTATATCCAAAGGAGATAATCAGAGTGATGAAAAAAGATAAATCAGTTCATTAAAGTATAGTTTATAATAGAAAAGCAATAGAATAAATCCAAATTTGAAATAGAAGAGCAGTAAAGGTACATCCATACAAGGAAACTTAATGCAGCCATTACAAAACTTTTTTAAAAAGCACATTTCTCTCTTGGCTTCCACTGTGTCGCTTATTCTCTATTTTATTGCCCCTCTATCACAGAATCCATTAGTGAATCCTTCTTCAATATATAAATTCCATAGGGTTCTTGTCACCTCTTTGCATAGTCTCTCAGAAAAAATCATGTGCATCACTGTCATTTTAAATACCATCGATGAGCTAACAACCCCTAAGTATACTATATCTAAAGCACAGACTTATTCTCTTGGATAATTCAAAGACACAGCCTCAACGTGCTGGGCTCAAATGATCCTTCCACCTCAGCCTTCCAGGTAGCTGGAACTACGGGTGTGCGCCATCATGCAGAGCTTTTTAAAAATTTATTTACTGTAGCCGGGCTCGGTGGCTCAGCCTGTAATCCCGCGCTTTGGGAGGCCGAGGTGAGTGAATTGCCCGAACCCGCGGGTTTGAGACCCGCCTGGGCAACTTGGCGAGACCTCATCTCTACAATAAATCAAAAACTAGCCAGGTGTGGTAGCGCGAGCCTGTAGTTCCAGCTACTTGGAAGGCTGAGGTGGAGGGATCGCTGGAGTCCAGCAGGTCGAGGCTGCGGTGGCCGGGAGTGGCCACTGCACTCCAGTCTGGGTGACAGAGTGAGACTCCAACTCAAAAGAAAAAAAAAAAAAAAGAAAAACAAACAAACAAACAAAATTTATTTACTGTAAAGATGAGGTCGTGCCAAGTTGCCCAGACTGGTCTCAAACCCCTGGCTCAGGCAATCCTCTTGCCTCTGCCTCCCAAAGTGCTGAGTTTACAGGCGTGAGCCATTGCACCCAGTCCATACCAACATTTTTAATTCCTGTAAAGTGTGTCATTGTATGGATGTTCATAACTGATTTAGTCAAGTATACTGTCTTCTTGTTTTGGGATTATAACCAGTGTTGCAATCAAGAGTTTTTTTAAACATATATTTTTGCTCATTCTTAACTGTTCCCTTAGGATAAATTCTTGCAAGTGGAATGTTGAAAAAAAAAAAGCATTTATGTTTCTATGCCTGTGAATACATATAGATAAGTCACTCTCCAGAAAGGCTGTGCTTTCAGAACATTAGCTATGTGTGAGAAGGGACATGTGTAATCTTTGAAAGTTATCTGGAGAATTAAAATTTTAATTGCCTCTACCATACTAGATGCATCTAGTATGACTGTCCATGGAAAATGTTCAAATAGAATCCTTAAACAATACCACTCTCCCACATCGCGCTGTGGTTGAGGTCCAAAATCTGATCTCATTCGCGATCTCCCAAGGATAATTTTTTTTTTTTGAGTTGGAGTCTCACTCTGTCGCCCAGACTGGAGTGCAGTGGCCGCTCCCGGCCACCGCAGCCTCGACTTGCTGGGCTCCGGCGATCCTTCCGCCTCCGCCTTCCATGTAGCCAGAATTACAGGCATGCGCTACCACGCCCGGCTGATTTTTTGATTTATTGTAGAGATGAGGTCTCGCTGCCCAGGCGGGTCTCGAACCCGCGGGTTCACGCAGTCCACTCACCTCAGCCTCCCAAAGGCGCGGGATTGCAGGCTGAGCCACCGAGCCCGGCCAAGGATACTTTTTAACAGCATTGCACTGACGACCCAGTCATCAGGGAAACTTCCAGAGGGCAAAGAGGGTGGAGTTTTGAAGCTGAGGGCTTCAATCCACAGTCAGTCGGAAAAGCCAGAAGGCAACCTGGAATAGGCTCTCAGGTTTGAAAATATTTCAATTGTAAATTCGGTCTCAAAACCAGAGGAATTTCTGTTATGTTGGATTCATTTTGCACCTTAGAATCCAGTTGGCATCTCTCTCTCTATCGTGTGTGTGTTTTAACAATTGATCAAAAAAGGTTTAGGTCTCATTGAGACAGGTCTTGTTGTAGAAGCTTTCGATTTTTTTTTTTTTTTTTTGAGTTGGAGGGCTCACTGTCGCCCAGACTGGAGTGCAGTGGCTGCTCCCGGCCACCGCAGCCTCGACCTGCCGGGCTCCGGCGATCCTTCTGCCTCAGCCTTCCAAATAGCCGGAACTACAGGCACGCACTACCACGCCCGGCTAATTTTTTAATTTTTTATTTATTTTTTTATTGTAGAGACAAGGTCTCGCCTAGTTGCCCAGGTGGGTCTCGAACCCGTGGGCTCAGGCAATCCACTCGCTTCGGCCTCCCGAAGTGCTGGGATTACAGGCTGAGCCACTGAGCGCGGCCCGATTTTTTTAAAATTGGAGAACAAATGAAAGGTATAGTTGTATCCGCAAAAGGTAAACATTTCGATTGATCTCGGCAGACACCTGATCCTCACCCTGATACCTGAGTGTTGGCGTGAAATGGGAGTGTTAGGACTCCTCTGCAGATGCGGGAGGGATGGGCGGGAGCGGGGTCGGGCCACAGGGCTGCCGCAGGCACCGGCCCCGCAGTCCGCCCTTGCCGTAGACGCCCTGCGGGCGGGCGCCAAAGAGTCCAGCGCACGTGCACCGGGGAGGCGGGCCCAATCGGACCAGCCCATCTTTGCCTTCCAAAAAAGGGGAGGGGAGGAGCCTATGATAGACCCCGCCCTCAACCCGCGGAGCAGCGGAACCGGGGCGGGATTTCCGCCTAAGGGCTACTTCCGGATCACACGGCTGTCTCGGGGGAAGCACCGGGAAGCAGCGCTGGGAAGTGCGGCTGGGCTGCGGCCGGTGCGCGGCCAGCGATGCTCGGGGCCAGCTCTGGGGCCCCCGAGCGCGAAGAGGATGGCGACGAGGCGGGGGCTGTGGCTGCGCCGCCCGCCATCGACTTTCCCACCGAAGGCCCGGACCCCAAGTATGATGGTGAGGAACTGCAAAGCCGCTGCCCGGCTCGGCTGTCCTCTGTCCACCTGCCTACCTGCCTTTCTGGACGATCTGGGCAGCCACGAGGTTTGCCTGAGACCCTGGGCGAATCCCGCTGCCTCCGGGCTTGAACCAGGGCCCAGCAATGTAGTGCGCGGGGCGGCGGGCGAGCTGTCAGGGTGAGGTTGTTGAAAAGAGAGTCTGCGACCTGCTCGTTTGTTTACATTTCTGCTCGTGGGTTTCCTCCCTGGGGACTGAGGCTTTAGGACAGGTAAGGACGTCACGGAGGCCACTGTCCAGCTCCTAAGCCCTCTGGTTTTGTCAGTCGTTGAGAATGATATTTGTTCATTACTAGAGTGAGACTTTGCAGACTCTGCACTGAGCAGTTTGGGTTAAGAGTTGCAATTTGTAGCTTTTCTTGTCTTTTGCTTCACTGATAGGATAACTAAAGAGCTCTCATAGTGGGGCAGTGTGGAAATAAATCATCCTCTTCCGTCTAAAGAAAAAAAGGCCCTAAGCCGGGCTCGATGGCTCAGCCTGTAATCCCAGCGCTTTGGGAGGCTGAGGTGAGTGGATTGCCTGAGACCGAGGGTTCGAGACCTGCCTGGGCAACTTGGCAAGATTTCATCTCTACAATAAAATCAAAAATTAGCCGGGCGTGGTAGCGCGCGCCTGTAGTTCCAGCTACTTGGAAGGCTGAGGCGGAAGGATCGCCGGAGCCCAGCAGGTCCAGGCTGCTGTGGCCCGGAGCGTGCCACTGCACTCCAGCCTGGGTGACAGAGTGAGACTCCAACTCAAAAAAAAAAAAAAAAGAAAAAAAGGAAAAAAAAAAAGGCCCACGTTTTCTTAAGGCTTTTGGTCACTAGGGGATATTGGCATAACTAAGTAAAGTTACTGGGCATAAATCCTTAAAACGTTGAAACAGAGTCTTTAGTTGTTACCAGTTGCTTTGGCAATTAAAGAAAATTAAATTGTGCTATCAAGAATGAATATATTGACTCAAGGAGGTTTTAACTAACTAATTTCAGTAGAATGATTACAGAGAATACACATTCAGTTGAAACATTAAACAAATATTATTGTGTTGCAATGGAATTGAAGGTGCAAACTGAGTTGAAAATGTTTTTATTTATTCAAGTGGAATAATAAATGAAAAAGCTCTTCCACTTTCATTCTTAACACTATTTATTATTCTTGACCATAAGGAGAAACAAAAGCAGAGTGTGGTGGTTTTAAGTAGGCTATTACAGAGGAAAATTGTAAGGTAACTTTTTTAATGGACAAGTGGATTTTTTCCACTTGTAAGGTCATATATTATAGCAGCTCAGTAATATGGAAAGTGTTATGTAATTTAGTAAAAGTCCCAGCTGTAAACATGCAACCCTGTCTTTTCTGTAACATTGTGATAAGGGTTTCTGCAAACTAAAGATTATTCTTGAAGCGAATGATCATAGATAAGCTTTTACATTTTTTCTTCTTCTGGGTTACTGATGATATTGTGCTTATGTGTGGCTTTTTCTTTCAACTTGGCCCAGAAGGTTCAGGCACATTTTATCTTTTTTATAAAAAGTAGTATCTGAACAATGTAATTCTTGTTGTTGTTTTTTTTTTCTTTTCTTTGAAATGTCATTTTTGGTCGGGCATGATGGTGCATGCTTGTAATCCCAGCACTTTGGGAGGCATAGGTGAGAAAGATTACCTGAGCCCAGGATTTTGAGATCAGCCTGGGCAAGTTGGCGAGACCTCATCTCTATAACATATTAAAAAAAAATTAGCCGGATATGGTGGTGCATACCTGTAATTCCAGCTGCTTGGAAGGCTGAGGTGGAAGGATTGCCTGAGCCCAGCAAGTCAAGGCTGCGGTAGCTGTGATGTGCCACTACACTCCAGCCTGGGCCACAGAGTGAGACTCCTACTCAAAAAATTATTTTTTCATTTTTAATAGATGTAAAAATGGAATAGTTAAATGATTTCTCACTTGTGGTTTGTATGATTTGAGAAGATCAGTCTGTCAGTTAATGGCAGAGTCAGAAAATTCAAAAGCTAGATATAACTTTAACATCTGTGTTCTTCAGGTTACGCCAACATCAGCCTTTGAGCAAAGTTACTGTGTACTTTCTTTGTGTGGAACAGTATAGGTTAGAAGGGCCAGCAGTAAACCCATTGTCAGATTCATTAATTTTCTCATTTCACTTCACACTTGTTTTTTAAAACCTTTTCCTCAGATCAGTATCCCAGGGCTGGGCCCAGTGGCTCACACAAGCATTTTGGGAGGTCAAGGCAAGAGGATTGCCTGAGCGCAGGAGTTTGAGACCAGCCTGAGCAACCTCGTCTCTACAATAAATAAAAAAATTAGCTGGGCATGGTGACATGTGCCTGTAGTCCCAGCTATTCAAGGGGCTAAGGCAGAAGGATCGCCTGAGCCCAAGAGGTCGAGGCTGTAGTAGCCGTGAACGTGCTACTGCGCTCCAGCCTGAGTGACAGAATGAGACTCCAACTCAAGGAAAAAAAAATTCCTAAGCTTCTCTTATACTTATAATGCACCCTTTGGATCACACTTTCCTGAGGAGATCAATGATCCTTTTCCTAACTACTCCTGTCTGCCTCCTTGGCAGAAGTCTGGAACTTGAATTCAGCTAGAAACTGTATTTTATTTCTTACTACTTTGTGAGATAACTTGACTTCATTTTTCCTTTAAGCTACTTGCCTTTCACTATTCTGTTCTTGACCAGTACTGTGAAATGGGAAGCGTTCAGCTTCAGCCTTCATTTCCTTTCTGTTTTACTGCATTTGAGTATCTGTCCAACGATCTCTTTGTTTTTTATTTTTTTGTTTTTGAGTTGGGATTGTACTCTTTCACCCAGACTGGAGTGCTGGAGTATAGTGGCACAATCACAGGTCACCACAACCTTGTACTCCTGGGCTCAAGCAACCCTCCCTCTTCAACTTCCCAAATAGCTGGGGCTACAGGAACACACCACCACACCTGGGTAATTTTTCTCCTTTTTTTTGAGTCGGAGTCTCACTTTGTCACCTAGGCTGGAGTGCAGTGGCACGTTCACAGTCACTGCAGCCTTGACCTGCTGAGCTCAGACAGTCCTTCTGCCTCAGCCTTCCAAGTAGCTGAAACTACAGGCACGTACCACTATACCCAGCTAATTTTTTTTTATTTATTGTAGAGATGAGGTCTTGCCAAGTTGCCCAGGCTGGTCTCAAACCTGTGGGCTCCGGCAATCCTCTTACCTCGACCTCCCAAAGTGCTGGGATTATAGGCATGAACCACCACGCCTGGCCTTTTTTTTCTTTTTTATAGAGATACTGTCTTGCTGTGTTGCCTGGGCTGGTTTTGAACTCCTGGACTCAAGCAGTCCTCCTTCCTTGTCCTCCCAAAGTGCTGGGATCACAGGCATGAGCCGCTATTCCTGGTCCTCACTGCTTTTTTTTTTTTGAGTTGGAGTCTCACTTTGTCACTCAGGCTGGAGTGCAGTGGCACGCTCATGTCCATCCCAGTGTCGAACTGCTGGGCTCAGGCCATCCTTCTGCCTCAGCCTTCCAAGTAGCCGGAAGTACAGGTGTGTGCTACCACGTCCAGCTAATTTTTGATTTATTGTAGACTTGAGGTTTTGCCAAGTTGCCCAGGCTGTCCCCGAACCTGTGGGCTCAGGCAATCCCCTCACCTTGGCCACTGCCCTTTTAAAAATTATCATTTTCCTGATTTATTAAAGGTTTGTTTGACTCCATTGACCATTCTATTTTGTTTTTTTCTTGTTAAATAGGATTTTCTCATTGTAGAAAACGAAACTATTAAAGTATAAAGAAGCAGAAAGCTCTCTAAAATCTCACCACTGTTAACAATTCAGTGTACATATTTTTAAAATTTCACATTGCAGAATATGTTGAGAATGTAGAAGAGCATGAAAAAGAAAATTTAAAAACTATGATCTTGTGCCTTTGGGAGGCTGAGATGAGTGGATTGCCTGAGCCCGCGGGCTCGAGACCTGCCTGGGCAACTTGGCGAGACCTCATCTCTACAATAAATCAAAAATTAGCCGGGTGTGGTAGCGTGTGCCCATAATTCTGGCTACTTGGAAGGCTGCGGTGGAAGGGTTGCCGGAGCCCAGCAGGTCAAGGCTGCGGTGGCCGGGAGCAGCCACTGCACTCCAGTCTGGGCGACAGAGTGAGATTCCAACTCCAAAAAACAAAAACCAAAAACCAAAAAACTGATTTTATCACCTAGAGTTTACAGTTTACATTTTGGTGTGGCTAGAAACAATTTATATGATGATTTTGCATTTAAGACTATTTGTCAAAGAAAGGTATCATGAGTGGATTAAAGATTTTCTTTTGATTTTGTTCCAATATAGTAAAAATTTAGAGATCATTCACAAACATTTAAAGGCATATAGGAATAAAGGGGAGAAGTCCTCTATACTTACGTCCTAGATAACTCACTGGTAACAATTTGACGCATTCATTTGCCACTATTTATTGTGTAGCTGATTAATGCCAGGCAATGTCTTAGATACAGAGGACCGAACAGGCAGACTGTAAAACAGCATGTATAATATAGTTTCATTTCTTTTACAAATTCTGTAGGTATATGATTGATACAGTCTCATTTCTTTTACAAATTCTGTAGATATATGATATATGATTGAGAGAGGACAGAGATGGTCTTGTTCTTTTTAGCTTTTCAAAAAAATCTGTGCATTTATGTAGCTATAAAATGTGTTTTAAATTTGTTCTGATTCTACTGCTATGAGAAACATTTTTTTTTTTTTTTT